CCATCCATCCATCCATCCATCCATCCATCCATCCATCCATCTATATCACGTGTTTGGACTGTGGAAGGAAACCAGAGTACCTGGAGAGAACCCACACATACATGAGGAGACCTTGGAAATATCATACAGAAAGATACAGGCCACATCTTCATAATATTTGGTCAAAATGACCAATCCTATTCACCCGATGCAAAAGTGAATATGTGTGGAAAATAAATCTGGTGTAAAGGGGCTGTAAATCTGACCAGCTGATTAAACAGGAAATAAGTATTTAGTAAAACTTTAAAGTGATTAAGGGACCTCTACCCACTATGAACAATCCAGTTTGTGTTTCAAAAGTGTGTAAGGGACATAAGAGAGCACTTTGTAATGGACACTTATGTATAAGTAATAGATAGTCATCAAGTGAAGTATGCTACAGCTGCTTTCCATTACAAACCTAACATTTAAACACCTGCCTAGAAGTTACGTAGGGATTACCAGTCCTCTTGTTGCTGCTGGCACAGCCATTAAGTTGTTAGAAAAAAGGCTCTGGCCTGCACGTCTGTTTGGAGAAAGGCTTTGTTAGGAGATTTGCCCCATGCTCTTAGTAATCCCAGTGTTCCTGGATAGGAAAGAATTTATTGGGGAGGCACTGCTGTCAAAAGATCCATATAATAAAACTACCACATATAGTCCAAATTGGAGTAAAACAGGAAAATAAATTCTTTCTAAATGGAGTCATTGCTCAGCCGTTGGCAGTTTCAGTCTGTGAAACTATGGGGTAGGCAGCAGATTTGTGGTGGGGTGTGCAGTGTTTATCACGCCTAAGACTGGAACCACCAAAAGACCGAATTTTCCTTTCACCAATCTCTTTGCTGTCCACTTTACCTCATTTAGGGTCACAGTGAGCTGAACCCGGGCCCAGCAGTCAGCAAGCAAAATGTATTGTATCTATATCTTCCTACAGGTTACTGGTCCATCGCAGAAGATGTTTGTTTTTTTGCCACCTAAAAACTGAAGAATGTTAAAGATGTATATAGTTTTGTTCAGGTTGTGTTACATGTTGGACAATTTGTCAGTCAGTTCAAAAGCTTTCTCCTTCCTGCTCCAAATGTAACAATGGTACACAGCAAATTTGAAGTGTTCCATCAACTCTTACAGAGTTAAATTCAACACATTGAAAGTAGAAGTTACACTTTTGAAAGTGTTATTTGTGATATAGTTGAATCAACACTCACAGTAGTTGAAATCAAAAACACTTCAGTGTTAATCTACCCAACATTAGTGTATATTGTCAAAAGTTAACACTATGAATGTGTTAATCTAACATGGTGCAGGGGTTAAGCACAACCCACATATGGAGGTTCTAGTTTTCAATGCGGCTGTTGTGGGATCGCTTCCCGGTCTTCCCCTTCTCTCATTACTCACTTTTTTTTTTGTCAATTTACTACCAAATAAAAGCCACTAGAGCAATTAAAACCTTTTTTCCCCAGAAACTCTTGGCCATCAATAATCCCCAAATTCATTTTAAAAGACATTAGATGCCACATTAGATGCTACAAAAACACCAGCACCAGTTGCAGTATGTAATCTACTTTTATTTCAAAACATCAAACAGCACTGACAGCAATATACAACAAAGGTCATACATTCATGGTACTTTACACTGAAGGTGAAGTGTGCTTTGAAAGTTCATTGGAAGCGGCCATGGATGGTCTTGTGAGCACTGATGGTGAAGTGTCTTTGGTGCTGCTCTTGTTTTTGCCAACATGAAGGAGGAAGACTTCCAGCCTGGAAGGAAAAACAGGAAATATAGCAGAAACATTAGGATAATAAATATTTTAAAAAGTAGTGTGAGCAAAACTAATCAGACTCACCTGTGTGTGTCACCGTCACATTCATTCAAATTACTCTGCCCACCTGGTTTACAAGATAAAGCATAAAAAAGTCAGAAATAATTACTAAAGAAATTAGTCAGCTTATAGAAAATTTTGCCAAGTCGTGCCAACCTGTCTGAAGAAATGTGTTGAAGTCATCATAACAGGCTTCAGTCACCAACATGACACACCAACAAAGAAAAAACATTTTGGCAGTTTTTAGATGTGCCACAGGTACAAAATACCAGAGTCAAATGGCTTAATTGCCTCCTCATTGTGTAGCTATGTTCTCCAGAGTCCTGCTAATCACCTAATTATTGTATTCAGGTGTGGTGCAGCAGCGGCACATCTAAATGTTGCAGGACAGTGGTCCTCCAGGACTGGAGTTTGACACCTGTGGCATCGATCAAGCCAATGGTCCAGCACAGCCACTCACCCATTTTGCAGTCTACAACCAAAAACTTAAAAAAAAACGACCTCCTCAGCTAAATAATGTTAACTTAAATGGCCTCCACATTTTCCTGACAGTTTCAATGTTTGGTTAAGATAATAAACAGTCGTATATACTGTGATATCCAAACAAATAAATGTACGTTAAACGAACTATGTATATGAATCGATACACTAACTATGTCACTAAAATCAGTCAGTCTGGTAAGGTTTTTAGCAACCATGAGTCAACAATGGGGCACCCTACTATATAACCTACTGGGGTATCGTACACAGGTTTCAACAAGAGAGCTTTCCTTACTAGTTCTCATCAGATATTATAAAGAAAAGTTGGGTCCCTGATGGCATGTTCTGCCTACCATCTGGGCCCCATGTAGGTCCAGGCTGGGGGTCTGCTGCAATCTTTACCCTTTCTGTTGCTCCTTCCCTGATGTGTTGTCACAAATATGTTACAGTTGTGGGAGGAACTGTCTGTTGATTTCTAAATCAACACCAGACTGAGTGCTGAATTAGACTGTTGGAGTTAATTTAGAAATCAACACTGGACTGGATTGCTTTTTGTTTAACTCTTTGGAACTCTTTAGTGAGTGTTAGGGGAGCTAACACTCATGTTGTTGAATTAACACTGTATTTTTAACATACAACACTTGCACTGGAAATCTGACACTTCCAAATTTGCTGTGTAGTTGCTTTGCACAGAGGGTCAAGATGCTTGGCTATTGAGAAATGATTGCTTTCTGGAGGCAAATTTTACCTGGTCAATAACATTTGGCTGTGACATGTGTAATGTGCCAGTTGAGCGCTGCGAAGTTTAACGGGAATTGCCTGTGCTGTAAACAATCATTCCCTAAAGACAGAAGTGAACGAACAAGATGGCTGTTAACGTTAATTAAATATTTGGCTAACGCGGATTGAACATCTTTGTTTACCTACTCCGCTCCCGTTGCTTACAGTACAAGCAGATTATAATTCTAAAACGGCGCAGAAAATCAGCATTACAACAACATTGCAACTTCTCCTTCAGTTCACTGAACAGGAGGATTAGAAATGGAAGAAAGCCCAGACTGTCTGCAAAGTGAGATTTTAATTGAGTGAAATTGCAACAGGAAGGTGATGGCTACTTCAAGATCTCCTGTCTCTTCAATTACAACCTCCAGTTTTGCTCTATAGATTCACCAACATAAATTTGCCTTCTACAGCTTTTGTTTCTCTGGTAAAATTTAACATTCTCACTTCCCTCCCAGACGTTCGTCCAAATACCTTCTCTGCCATAATAATCGCTGACTCTTCTTCTCTTCCCTCCATAGCGTGAGATCTCCACTCGTTGCTTGAAGACAGTTACTGCACAACTGGACTCTGTTCTGTCATATCCTTGTCTCAGAGTCTTGTTTCAGCATTTGGCTCTGGTTATTGGCTCCACATTATGACAACCAGATGTTAACTCAGAGAGCTGCCAGAAAGCTAAGTCATTTGAGGGAATATGCTAAATAAGTATCCTAACAAATCTGAATGACTTGAGAGGTCTTCAGGAGCCTTTGGGGTATCTGGAAAGATGGAAAAAGAGAAATGTACCACCTGCCTCAGTACAGAAAGATGCAACTTCGACTAATAAACTAATCATAATGAGCCACAGTGCATGGCAGATTTTTGGTGCATGACATTTCGAGCACTTTCAGTTTAAATCGTCTGCTTAAAAAAAATATGCATTTTTAAAAATTCCCCCCATTTTTTTTTTTTTTTTTTTTAGTAAGACAGTGCCATCCTGTCCTCACATTTCTGCAGAGTTGCTGGCCTTCAGCATACTCATGTAAGTCTGGAATGCAGCACATGCCTTCACCTTTCACCTCTGCATGTATACCTTAATCTCACCTAACCTCTATTGTGTTGGCGTGAAACAACCTGCAGCAGAATACTGGGATAATGTTTGCAAAAAATCCTTGCAACATTTAACCAGAATTTCTCAAAACTACATTAAATCGGGAACTCGTTATGTCGTTAGCTATGTGGAAGTCAGTATCAAGACTTCAGAATGTAGATAGGTAGAGTTACATACCATCTTTATTGTTTCTTCTCAGTTATAGATTAAATATTTTCCAAAATGCTGTTACCTTTCAAAATGATTTCAAATAATTAATCTAATGTACATAAAGACTCACCTAAGATAGAAAATATATCCGTACTATCATTTAATTTAATTGATCAGTTAAAATCTTTCAAAAATATTTATGTTACCAGACTGTGATGAGCACAACACGAGTACGATGTTCAAAAAATTATATTAGGACAAATGTGTTTCAATTGTCTTTGGTTTTATTGAAGTCACTGACATCATGTCAACTTTAAAATGTTGACTTCTCTCCTAAAGTCCAGTCACAATTTTGATGTTTATTTTTGCTTTTCCAAAGAACTCTTGCTAAATCTGTTCTTTTGTCAATAGCTTTTTGTGTTTTGCCAACGGATGTTTAGTTTAGCCAAAAAACACGTCTCCCTCCACTTCCTAGAAATACCAGTCTAGCTAGAAATTTGGTCTCTAAAGCAGTGTTGCTCATATTTTTTGCAATTATTGGTCAATTTAATTTGTTTAACTTCAATGTAATGATAATAATGCTTTTGACAGTGTAATAAATTCAGTAAACTGGAGTTTACACAAGTGCTTTCCTGTAAACAGTCTAAAAAAAAGTGTATTTTCCTCTGTTCATTGCCAGTTATATGCACTCACAAACACAAAACATTTAAACACTTCAGTCATGAAAGATTTACAAAGGTATTTATTGCTTTTGAATTTTAGTTTTGTTTTATTGCAGTTTTAGGACGGTAGCATTAATCAATAACGTGGGCGTAAAACCAGTCTGTTGCTTACTTAAAAACTTTAAAGCAGCAAGAACATTTTAAATTCACTTTTATGTCACCTTTTCTTCTGACACCAGCATTTTTCGCTCAAGCAAGCTGCGCCCAAAGTCCTTGCAAAATCCTTTGCTCTTATTGTATCCTAAAAACAAGGATTGCTTAACATGCACGTGAGGCTAATTCTTTTTTCTTTCTCAGTAACAGATTTAAATTTCCAATTAAATGTCTGATGTGTATTATGTCATGTGCCATTGATAATCCTTGAACATGCACTGTTGCCTGTGTTTGTCTAAGTCTAGATATATGACAGCTTTTGAGATCTAAAATATTTTATTATCAAAATCAGTTTGCATGGGGGGGTGGCTGTACAGATTGCAAGAGTTGTTAGTCATTTTAAATGACCTTTTAAAAAGTCCACTTCATAACCATCTAACTGAGGGAGATTATTGATCAAGAGCAGAACAAAGTTCATCAGCAGTTGACTCTAACTTTCTGGCCAATCTTGGGCTTAGAGGCGGGGGATAGAATAAATGCAAGATGATACATATGCGCTTCAGTTCCTCGGAGGAGAAACCGAGATCGGTTCAGAGCTTTTTAGCAGCCAGGAGAGCATTTCGCAAAGATGGTTTCCCTAAAATCTCCGTCCCTGATGCCGGTGACCCGCGCGGAGGCGCTGCTCGCTCTGAGCTGCCTGGCTCTCGTTCTCCTCGCATTCCTGCTGGTGCGCCAGCTCGTCAAGCAGAAGAGACCCCCTGGGTTTCCTCCCGGTCCATCTCCCATTCCTATCATAGGAAACATTTTTTCTCTCGCTACTGAGCCGCACGTCTTTCTCAAGAGGCAAAGCGAAGTTCACGGGCAGGTAAGACTCGAACTCCCTGGAGCGCCGCTTGCAAACCGTGCAGGGCATGAACCCTCCTTCGCACTTTCGAGCGTGCACAGTCTTGGGATTAGCTATGAAACGAACAAAGGAGACTCGCCCTAACATTTGGCAGACTGGAGGATTTGATTGGAGCAGGACAGCTGACAAATCAGGAACTCCGAGAAATGAAAATCTCCTCCCAAGAAGCCACATAGACATCCTTTTAGCCATGCAGGGTTGTTTATTTTTTTATATATATACATATTATTTGAAAATGCATGTATATTTTCTCATAAAAATATGCATGTGAGTAACAACTTGCAAAAAACAAAAAACAAAAGAAAGCAAACTTGCATTTAGTTAATTCAGCCCTATTTTTTTAAATAATAAATGTGTGACTGAAGAAAAAAAATGACTTCATGTTCCTGTTTCTTTTGCAGATTTTCAGTCTTGACCTGGGAGGCATAATGACCGTGGTATTAAATGGTTATGATTGTGTGAAAGAATGCCTTTATCACCAGAGTGAGGTTTTTGCTGATCGGCCGTCTCTGCCACTATTTCATAAAATGACCAAAATGGGTGGTAAGCTGCCCATTTATGTTTCTCATACACAAGTTCATAGAATGAGACAGCGGTTGGATGTTGAATGATGCAATTCCTTTTGTTTTTATTTCTCATTTCACAAAGGTCTTCTAAACTGTAAGTACGGGAAAGGCTGGATTGATCATCGCAAGCTGGCCTGCAACTCCTTCCGTTACTATGGCAGCAGCCAGAAACTGTTTGAGCGAAGAATCACGGAAGAGTGCATGTTCTTAGTCGATTCGATTGACAAGTACAAGGGAAAACTCTTCAACCCAAAACACCTTGTGACCAACGCCGTGTCAAACATCACCAATCTGGTCATCTTTGGCCAGCGTTTCACCTACGATGACAGCAACTTCCAGCATATGATCGAGATCTTCAGTGAGAACGTGGAGTTGGCCGTCAGCGGCTGGGCTCTCCTCTACAACGCCTTTCCTTGGATCGAATATCTGCCCTTTGGAAAACACCAGAAGCTGTTCCACAATGCTGCTGAGGTGTACGACTTCCTGCAGAAGGTTATAACAGGATTTTCCCAAGGCAGGGTGCCCCATGCACCACGTCACTATGTTGATGCCTATCTGGACGAGTTGGAGCAGAACGCAAGAGATCCCAGGAGTTCTTTTACTTACGAGAACCTCATCTATTCCGTGGGGGAGCTCATTATCGCCGGCACAGAGACCACAACCAACACCCTGCGTTGGGCTATGCTGTACATGGCCCTCTACCCCAACATACAAGGTAAGTGTAAGTGTAAGGTGTACCATCATTAAAACAAGTGGGTTTGATCAAAATGCATTTCTCTGTTTTGAACAAAAGAGTAATTTTCCCTGTTTTGCCATGCAAAGAGAGGGTGCACAGAGAGATCGACAGTGTGCTGACCAACGGGAGGCCACCTTCTCTCGAGGACAAGCACAGGATGCCCTACGTGGAGGCTGTTTTGCATGAGATCCTTCGCTTCTGCAACATTGTGCCTCTTGGTATCTTCCGAGCTACCTCCCAGGATGCGAAAGTTAAGGGGTACTCGATTCCTAAAGGAACCATGGTGATCACAAACCTCTACTCAGTGCACTTTGACGAGAAGTACTGGAGCGACCCAGGAATCTTCTTACCAGAAAGGTTTCTGGACATTAGCGGCAACTTCATAAGGCGTGAGGCCTTCCTTCCGTTCTCTTTAGGTCAGTATTCTTGTGCTCCTCCTATGAAATGAAAACTGAGATTTTTGTTAAAGAAACATCCACTTTGTATAGGTAATGTGCCTTTTTCTCTAGGCATTTTATAAATTATTTTTTTTAAATTATTTTACTTACTACCTGGAACTGTTGAACAGTAAATTACACCTAAAACATTGTCACTATTTATAATGTGGGCAAAGCAAAAATGACTGAATGGAAGGCAGCTTTTAGGTTACATCTTACCTTTAGTTTACTGTAGTTGCCAGGTGCATGTTACACCTGGGAACCCACAACTTTTAGATTTATGTCACTATTTTTATTTAAGTTTCTCTTTTCTCCCTTATTTCTCTAAAACAAATTTCTTTTTTTCACTTGACAGTAATAATATTATTTTTATAAGACAATAATTCTGATTTTTTTTTTTTTTTTTTTACTTTTATACTATTTTGATTAGGCTTTAAAATTGTATTGTAATTTTGGGTTCAGTGGGGCTATAATTTAACATCTGTTGGCTCAACAAATTTAAAAATGTATCTTCAACTACAGATCTACAGTATCCTGCTCATCCTGCAGTCTTGTTAGTGAATACTCATTAAGTACCTGCTGTCTGCTTTATGTGTACTTGTGCAGCCAGCATGTATTATCATATATGTTTATGTCCACATGTGGAGAACTTTTCTTTACACACGTTCACACACATTCATTCTCTCTGAAAACCCGCATGATTCCCTTCTGTAGTGGTTTTATGAACTTTCACTTGTTTGGACTTGAGGACATAGTAGCCACATGTTCCAGTTATTTCTGCATGACCACGAGTTTAAATGAGCACATTTTGTATTTTCAGGGAGGCGTCACTGTGTGGGTGAACAGCTGGCCCGGATGGAAATGTTCCTATTTTTCACCACATTGCTGCAGAGGTTTCACCTTCAGTTCCCTCCACGAACTGTTCCAACTGTAACTCCCAAACTTGGAATGACCCTACAGCCCAAACCTTACTCCATTTGTGCTGTCCGCAGGCAGCAGATGTTTCAATGCTCCGAAGGCACTCCTTACCACAAGTAGGTTCGTCGGCTGCAGTGCACAGAATCACCTGTGCATATTCATCTTCCAAGAGGACTTCTGGTGATCCATGTGTCCACTGACATCTTAACACAAACAATCAGTTTATTCGAGTGCTACAGATATTTTTTTTATAAACATATATGCATGTTTGCACAGTACTTTTGAACAGCAGGGGAGGTGCCAGGAGCTGACTGGACATCCTGGGAGCACGAATGGGCTATTGATTCAATTCCCTGAGCTCCTGCAACCAGAAACGAAATGCCTGTGAACCTTGGCGCAGCGGCGATGGTTTAGGTCAATGATTTATATTATGTACACCAATGATGGTTCATAGCACTGATGTTGTAGGACAGCTTTGGGGAGATTAATGACACCAGCTCTTCATACAGCATTTGTCTGGCCAAATGGGACTAACGGACTTTCCAAGAAAGTTCTGAACTGTGTATTGGAATTGGCTTAAGACCAAGATTTACATCATCTGGACTGACTCTGAACCTTTCTCCAGGGATAGTGCTATGTGGAAAATCTTTCTCTTAGAAAGCAAATGTAACCCTGATGGATTTCTAGAAACTGACTTTGCAAGACTGGTTTCTGATAAATGGTGCTTATCGGTACTAATAACGTATTGTGTTTATATGTGACATGTTTGTTGTATTTTTGCAATCCTGGTAGTGTACATGTTTATTTTTTTGTGTGTGTATTCATAAGCTTGCCCTTCCTTTCCTTTCAAAAATGTTATTCTTAAAAGCTATTTTTTCCCAAATGACCCTTTGTGTTATTCACAGCTGTATGCTATTATCAATTTAACAACTCCAACTGTTCTGATGTGTCACTAGCAGAAACATTTCACAGAATGTAACCTGAAGAAAACTCAGTCAACTTTGGGCTCACGTTGTCTAAGCAAAAAGAAAAAATATTTTCTTCTTTTTAACTTGAAGTGAAAAAGTCACTGTTCAGTGCAAACTGTTTCTAGAATCTAATACTTAGTAGATGTGTTGCTTGAAATGTATACTGGGATACCTAAATACAGTTTGACTAGGAATGTTAATAACTTAATAGAATGAAAAGAAGACATAAAAGACTACAACTGGACTTCATAAGCATCAAAAGGCCAACTTCAAATTGATTTTTAGTTCTTTCTTTAAGGCAAGAGGCAAAGCACTGTATAATTAGCTTAATGACAGATGTAAATTGCAGATTTTTGCAGACAGTAACTATCCTAAGTATGCCTGACACACAGGTGAGGGTTCACACATCAGACAACACAAGTTCAGGTTTGACTACGGTGGTCATCCACTGTACTAACATGAAGCTAAGGAAGCATGATCTCTGTTGAAGTTTTAAATTTTACCTAGTAGCTAATGTTTGGCTGTGACAGCAGTCCAACTCTGTGAAGCTTACCAGAAATTGCCTAAAACATAAATAACATTTTCTATGATTTGTTTTAAGGATCAGAATAATCATTTTCCTCTGATTAGCATTGTTTATGTTAGCATTGCAGCAAAGTTAGCTACTGCAGGATGTTAGAAAAGCAGACTTTTAAAATTCTGGTTACTGCTTGCAGAGCTGTGGAATAACTGCCTGTGGTCTGTTAGAAAAATATTGTTGAGAGAGTGAGCTCTCTCAAAAATATTAGTATTTTTAAGGACGTTGCTTTAGTATATATAGGTGGTTCTTAGCCACCATAATAAGTATTATATGCTGGCAGTGTTCAGTGTATAAAGAATCAGCACAACACAACTGATGATCTATAAATATGAAGTATTTTAAAGTAGTACTCAATGGAATATTTCCAGACAGACTTCCTAGAGATGGGCATGATATCCTTTGATTCATGTTTCACCTTTTATAACCATATTATGCACCAAAGTGGTGGTAAAGAATATTTAACTCATTTTTTAAAAACATCCTACATATATTTTTGAAGCCTCATTCCACAAAACAACTCCAAAAGTCCAAGTTTTTAGCTGCCTTAGGAACTGACCCTGTTAAGATCACAGTCAATTCTCAGTTGAAAAAAAATCAAGTTAACATGAAGGTGTTTTTCCCAATTTACATAAAACACAATTACAAGTGTCAAGAACTAACGAAATGTATCAAGAAATTGAAAGAAAGCAGCAAACCACAGAACAAGTTTGGCAGAGCGTGGAGGTGAAAGAGCCTGTAATGAAAATTAGTGACAGATGTGTCTAAAGACCCAACAACATCTGCCAAGACAGAAATGAATGACTTAACCTCGATGAAAACCATTACTAAAGCTCTGCACAGACATGAACTGCAGTTGAGGAAGAATTCCACCTTTGTAGGAAAAACACCTTCAAACCAAACTGCAGCTTCCTAAGAACATCCAAGAGAAAGATTATCCATTCTCGAAACGGGTCGTTAACAAGGATAAGACAAAACCAGAGCTCTTTGGCTACAGAGACACTGCTTGTTCGGAGAAAGAAGGAAGAGGTCTACACACCAAAAAGCACTGGCCCAAATGTAAAATCTGGTTGTTGCAACTGGGAATCATGTCGAGCTAAAATGAATCATAAAGGAAGATATGTGAAAATTTAACAAGAAAAGGTATTATCAAAACTTGGTCTAGTCTTTGTTTTGTGTACCCAACATGACATTAACTCAAAAATATTAACTGCTGCTGGTGATAGAAATACATCATGAAGACCAAAGTCAATGCTATTAACAGACCTGGACAAAACCCTGACTTGCATGACTGTGGGGGTGACCTGAAGATAAAAGTCGATCCCAGAGAGTTATTAAATATGAAGGAGCTTGGGACATTTTCCCAAAGAGGAGTGGGCTGGGATCCTTTAAGAGACGTGTCAGAAACCTGCTGAAAACTACAAACAACAATCCTCTTTCTACTTCTGTATCCAGCAACAGGATCCACAAAAGACCAACAGCAGAATTTCAACCCCGGCAGCTTTGAGTGCAAAACAAAACTAATGAAATTATCGAAAACAAACTCTTGAAATAATTTTAAAACAATGCATTTCTTGAACTCTTTTGTCCTTTTTTTTCTTCCCTTCTTTTTCTTTATAATAGAAAGAAAATTGGCTGTAAATACACTTGCGTGTACTGTTCCTTTTATCGTTTATTTTATTACCTTTAAACTTTATATATTTGTGTGCAATTTCCATATTTTCTAAGGACACAGAGCTGGAGTCAGATTCCTTATTTTTGCGCACACAATATTTGCCATCAATGTTGGTTCTGAATTTTAATGCTGGCTACACGTTTGTAGTCTCTGCTACTTTGTAGGTCAGACCCTGGAAAGTTTGAATGTCTCTTTCATGTGCAGTCTTCTTCCAGAAACTGGAAATTTTACATTCAGTGTTTTGCTCACTTTTGCAGCAGCGGCAGCTCCTAATTGTCTGACATTCGGGGTAACTACTGAGTGGGAAAACATGGAATGGAAGTAAGGGACGAAAAAGGACAATTTGGGTCTCGTTCAATCTGATAAACTGAAGATAGGATTCGCACAACCTCTTGAAACAGATGATGTTACGTGAAACCCCATATGTGGCTGTGGATTTTGATTGCTTATTAGCTTTTTTTTTGAGGGGGTGGGGTGGTGTGGAATAAAAAACAAAACAAAACAATGTATAGTTTGGACTCACAGACACACAAATACGAATAAGATCCCAAATAAAATAATATAAATAAATCAAAGAGGACAGCTGATACTTTAGGGATGGTTGTTTTATGGCATCTATAAATAACAAAAATCGGCTGTCCCACATTAAAGATACGGGTGAATGGTTACATTAGACAAACGTATACTGATGCTACATAAGGGTAACAACTGTTCATAGATGTATTTATGGCACAATCACAGATGACTCTGTGGTTTGGGAAACTGCACAGTGAGAAGTCAACAAACATTTACAACGCAATGAGCTAGAATGTCAGGTCAGGAGCTACCACGGCTTTCTGATCCGGCTCGGGTCCACGTGAGAGAACTGGAGTCGGGCTCGTCAGAACTCTATGCGTTGCTCTTGCACAAACTGCGATGGAGCCGGGAGAAACGTCTAAGATCAGCACGTCACAGCCAACACATGACAGGATGCGGGGAAAGTTTGGCACTAGTTGGATCAAGCGAGATACAACAGTGTGAGAGTGAATAGAGGAGACAAGAGTGGTTATGGTACAAAAAAGAAAAAAAAGGGGGGAGGGAGGCAGGCGTGAGGCTGGAGCAGAGAGGAAAATAAAACCTTGCTCCCTACACAAGTTTCACATTTGGAAAAAGATGAACGCTCTGGAAACACAAAAATGTAATAATTACAGGATGTACAAGATGTCAGCTGCGTGTAGAAAACAGATGCATTCATTTGATTATTTCAAAAATATATATTTATATGCACATATTCTTTTGTACAGTGGCTAAACACTTGTTTGGTATTAAAATGTGCACAATGGTATTTATTTTCTGTCATTAAATATTACTCAGATTGCTTAACATTTTCTGCAGGGATTATGAGTTAATAAGGTGATAAAAGACCTAGGTAACAATTCTGCCTTCCCTTTGATAAAATATCATATTAAGTGGAATGCCAAGAGTTTAGACAGAAATTGAAAAAACAGATCGAGAACTATTATATTTTTAACCTGCCTTGTGTGACACTTCATTTGTTTTTTATATATATATATATATATATATATATATATATATATATATATATATATATATTTGTGTATATAAACAAAACCAAAGAGACATTAAAACAGGGCATCTTTTCTTTACACACTGGCTAAATTGTGGGTTTGGATACAAGTCTTTAAAAAAAAAGGATAATTTATGTGAAGTAATTGGAAAAAAAAACAAAAAAACTTGCTAGCCTGTGTGATGTCGAAACAAAAACCTACTATATTATTCGAGAACTGCAAAACTGACTGCTATGTTGCTGCAGAAAAGACATTTGCAATCTGGTGACAATCATGATTATTTTCTTCTCCAGTGAGGTTGTAAAACGATTTTGCAAACAGTGTATGAATTAAACCAAGAGACAGCACATTCTGCCTGCCCCTCTACCACAGAGGACTTCATCTGCTTGAATTTGTTTGTAGTCAAGTTCATTAAGAGATTACAAACTGCTTCAATCACCCCCATTTTTTTTTAATTTCTTTAGTTTTTAAAGTGTATTTCATATGAATGACATAAATTCTTGCAAAATAATTAATCAACTTTGCATGAATCCTGAGTAACCTTTAAAAAAATACTTGTAATCAAAAATAAAATAAAAATAAAATAAAAGGAACATAAAGAATCCGTTCATTGAATCAGCACTCCTGATCTGAATGCAACACGTCAAAACGCCAGAGGACATTTTACTGATTTGAAATCAAACATTGCTAAAATGACACACAAAGACACGCAAAAATACACACTAACATGGTTAAAGATGTGCTCTCGTTCTCCCCGCTCATTCTCTCTGTCGCATTCCGGTCAGAAATAGTCACACTCAAACTCAACAAAGAACAGAGAGTTAAAGGGGGGGGGGGTGTTGGGGGAAGTACGGTGGTACACATGAATAAAAGCATCAAAAAACGATGCAGATATAATGCTATTAATCAGTCAACATTTCAATAAAGTCTCTGTGACTGAGTCTGATACAGTGTTTCGTGTCACCAGCAAGGAGAGGAAACTTCTCAAGCCAAAACTCTGGGCCAAAATGGACTTAGTAAAGTTTCAGACAGGCACATCAGCTTATGTATATACTCAAAAAATAAATATATTTTTTGATTCTAATATATATATATATATATATATATATATATATATATATAGACACACACACATATATTTCTTGACTGAGGCTGAAGCAGTTTCAGTCTCTTGTCTTCCGGACTGTTCACTTTGGTAAGGGTTAAGGATACCACCTGCTTCAGTACTTTTCCTCTATCTTTCGTTTAATTTTTATTTTATTTTATTTTTTTTAAATAAACAGGAACTACTTTGTACCTAAAGGAGGTGTTAAGTGTTAAGCGCTTTGCATTCAAGGCAGCATCACAGCCAATTCACCATGGAGGAAAAGTTTATGCTGGACCCCCGTCCACAGTCCTCTTCTGCACCTTTACCCTTGGTTCTGGTGCTTTTATGTCTGTTTGCACTTGACTCTCCATGGGATGAAAGTGCATAGGGGTTGGGCCCCTACCGTTGCAGTAAGGATCCGCTCACAGTAGTAAGGCCTTTTTGTTTCTCTGAAAAACGACGTGACTGCTTTAACATTTGAGTGTCTGCACAGTGAATCATTTAATGTGTGTGTTCAGGATAGAGCGGGAACAAAGTATGTTTTATGTGCATCTATTGACTCTCTGTCTTTGTGTCAGTAAAAGGCAGATGGTTGAAGAACTTCAGTTCTTCCACGGCTTCTCCTTTTCTTTTTCGTGCAGCTTTGCACATTCACTTTGTCCTCCTGCTACTGACGCTCCTCCCCTTCCTCCTCCTCCTGGATGACCTGGATGTCATCTGACGGGGAGGTGGGCAAGCTGTCCGGCTGCTGCTGTTTGCCAAGTTCTTTGTTCTTGTCCTCCTCCTCAATGATCTTCTTCCAAACCTTGTGGTTCTCCGTCAGGTGCTGCATGATGCAGCTGAACAACCTGCGGCGACCTTTCGTCCTTCCTGCAAGTGAGTAACGGGGGGGAGGCAATAAAAAAAACATCTT